GCCCTAAAAAAATTCGGGCTGAGCTCGGGTTGAGCCCGCCCGAGTTGCACCCCTATTTCCGACCATATGTCTAATTCCTCTAATTTGTTCTCAAAGTATACACCCTCTTCAGGTCAGGCAAAAATGCATATTACTGACGGTACTATATCGTTTGTGTCACGAAAAGGTTTAATTCATGCCATATCTTCCCTTCCTTTATCCTCTGCACACCATGTTCGCAATTTTAGTGCTAATCTTTTATCTTTGAGTCGTATTATTCGTGATTTGAATTGTAACGTGACGTTTTCTTCCTGATCATTGTCTTTTTCATGACCTTATCACGAGAAAGAAGATTGGTAGTGGTAGAGACGAACATGGTCTCTACATTCTAGATCAGCCTAATAAACTGGCTCATGCATCTATTCAGTTACCATCCACCAAGGAAGACCTTTAGTTGTGGCACCGTTGTTTCTTTTGCTCCTTCTATTAATAAGAGTTCCGTTCTATTTTCTTTAATTCATTTTGATGTATGGGGTCTATCATGCTTTGTGTCTTTAAAGGGTCAAAAATGATTTGTTACTTTCATTGATGACTTTTCTAGGGCCACTGGGGTGTATCTGATAAAAGATAAAAGTGAAGTGTTTTCTGTATTTCAAAACTTTCATAACATGGTTTGTACTCAGTTTGGGGCGATTGTCAAACTTTTACGTTCTGATAATGGGGGAGAATTAACTCTGGTCTTGCTACCCTTCAACAAAATGGTATTGCCGAACGAAAAAATCGCCATCCCCTTGATGTGACCCATTGTCTATCCTTTGATATGTGTGTTTCTTAATCTTATTAGGGGGAAGCAGTTATCACTGCCGCTTATTTGATTAATCATCTTCCCACCAAGTCCTTCAAAAACCAACACTTCTTCACGTTTTGTTCGGGTCCACCTCTTCTGGGTTCTCCATTCCCTCTAAGACCTTTGGATGTGTTTGTTTTGTCCATAATCATTCACCCACCCGTGGTAAACTGGATCCTCAGTCTTTTAAATGTGTTTTCTTGGATTATTCTGCAACCCAAAAGGGTTATAAGTGTTATCATCCTCCATCTCACAAGTGGTTTGTCTCCATGGATGTCACCTTCTTCGAGTCTCGGCCTTACTTTCTGACCTCCCTAGTGTCCCAGTTATCCCTTCAAGGGGAGCCTTGGTGTGAAGACATGCCATAGAGGATGTTAAGCTAGCAATTGTTGTGGAAAAGGAAGAAGGCAAATTTTATGTCAGGGACAAAGATAAACAAAAAGTCACTTGGATGCAAGAGACTACTTTCTTTCCTCTACTGCCAACTTTTTCTCCAGATGAGTGTCCAGAGTCCTCCTCCTATCCTGAGCGTCCAGGTAATTTTGATTCTAACGCTTCTATTTCTGAGTTCTCAGATCTTGATGTTCCCACTACTAATAAGAAAGGGGTTAGGTCATGTACTCAACATCCTATTACTAATCATGTGTCTTATTCTGATCTGTCTCCCTTATATAAAGCCTTTTTGTCTAAAATTTCTTCTGTGAGTCTGCCTAACAATTTTCAAGATGCTCTCTCCATTCCTGAATGAAGACATGCCATAATGGAGGAGATGACAGCTCTCAGTAAGAATGGCACTTGGGAGAGTTAGTGGAGTTACCTAGAGGCAAAAATCTAATTGGGTGTAAAACACTGTGAAACACAAAGCAGACGGTTCCATAGAACGGTACAAAGCAAGATTGGTTGCTAAGGGCTTCACTCAGACATATGGGATAGATTACCAAAAGACCTTTGTACCGGTTGCTAAGATAACTCTATGAGAATACTACTCTCTCTTGCAGCAAATTTGAATTGACCACTTCATCAGTTTGATGCGAATAATGTCTTTCTTCATAGAGACCTAGAAGAAGAGGTCTATATGGATATTCCACCTGACTTTGAGAATGCTAGGTCCAAAGGTAAAGTGTGCAGGCTACGAAAGTCACTTTATGGGCTAAAGCAGTCCCCTAGGGCTTAGTTTGAAAGGTTTGCTCAAGCTATGCTGAAATATGAGTTCAAGCAAAGTCAAGCTAATCACACCTTATTTGTGAAACACTCCTCCCGTGATAAGACCACAGTTCTTATTATTTATGTTGATGATATTGTTTTGACAAGGAATAATGGTGAGGAGATCCCTCGGTTGAAGGAACACTTAGTCAAGGAGTTTGAAATTAAAAACTCAGGTAATTTGAAATATTTTTTGGACATTAAAGTAGTTTGGTCCAAGGATAACATCTTCATATGCCAGAGGAAATATGTACCTACTATAGGAAACTGAAATGCTTGGAGATAGACTATGTGATACACCTCTAGAACCGGGCCAGAAACTAAGTGAGGATCAGGAGAGAGATCCAGTGGATAGGGGAAGATACCACAGTCTAGTGGGTAAGTTCATATACTTATCCCACTCACGTCTAGACATTGCCATTGCAGTGAGCATGGTTAGCCAATTTATGCATGCTCCTAGACATTCCCACTTAGAGGTAGTTATGAGAATCTTTAGGTATCTGAAGTCTTCTCCTAGAAAGTGTATTTATTTCTCAAAACATGGACATCTCAGTGTGGAGGCATTTACTGATCCAGATTGGGCTGAATCAGTCACTGACAGACGATCAACTTCTAGACATTACACATTTGTTGAAGGCAACCTAGTCATATGGCGAAGTAAGAAACAGAATGTGATCACTAGATCTAGTGTTGAAGGAGAATTCAAGGCTATGGCTTAGGGTGTATGTGAGTTGCTATGGATTAGACTATTGTTGGGAGACTTGGGAATCCATCAGACTGATTCCACAAGGTTATACTGTGACAACAAGACGGCGATCAACATAACTCATAATCTAGTTTAACATGACAAAACTAAGCATGTGGAAATTGATAGGCACTTCATTAAGGAAAATCTCACGAGTGGCATCATATGTGCATCATTTGTGAAGCCTAAGGACCAACTAGCAGACGTTCTCACCAAAAGAATAAGGAGCAAACCATTTCATGACTTTCTCAACAAGTTGGGTATGAGAGATATCTTCGCACTAGCTTGAGGGGAAGTGTTAGAATGTATTAGAATAAAAAATAATATTTGATATATTTTATTTTTAGTTTCCCTTGATTGAATGTAATGAGCTGGCTCATAATTTATGCCTGTAATTACGTATTATTATCAATATAAAAGGAGATGAGATCTCACTCATTCCCTATCTCTTTCTCGTCTAAACAAAACCCTAATAAAAATAAGAAAATCAAAATTCTTGATGACTAAATAAACATACTAAAAGGAAACAAATCCTGAGAATCCTAATCATAAATTTTTGATCACTAAGAAACGTATTACAAGGAAACAAATCACGAGAATCCTAATTACGTATAACTGAAAAGAGAATAAATGAATAGATACCAATGGCATAAGATTAGAAGACAGGGAAAAAGAATTCCTACATATGTTCCTCATCATTCTCCCCGACTAAGAAAAAGAACTAGTCCTCGAGTTCTAAAAAATTGAACATGGCCATGCCAACAAATCAAATATTTTGAATATGCTAGTTGCTTGATCATTGTCTCGTTCCACTTAATTTTTGTGGTTAGACTGTTGACAAGTTCACCAAACATGGATCGAAAACGTAAATAAAAAAAAATTAAAAAAATTAAAAAAAAAAAAAAAAAAACTGAAATACCAATAAAAGCAAGTATGTCCAACTTGATCAAAGATGAATCGGATGATGGCACGTCAATTGGAAGCTCCTCCTTTGATAAAATCATGTGGTGTGGGCTAGTCACTCACACTGCACCGACTTATTGGAATTTTAAGGTTCATGAATTTTCCTCCAAAATAACGTCATTTGCCTTGGACATTGGAACAACTTGATCAACAAAGTCCACTTTCTCATCTTGGACTTCAGAATCTTCTTCCAAAATAATTTTACTTTCGCTGGGCAATAAGAACAGCTCGGTCAAGAATTTCCACATAATCATCACAAGCACTTTGAGGAATGACTAAAATATCTCCTAAAACAAAGACCACCTTACTCAAAATCGATTTCGTTACTGCCAGGAAAACCCTCATTTCTTTTAGGTCTTGATGAAGTCATCCAAGTGTGAACATGCCTCTAATTGGTTACCATGGTTCCAATTTTTTTTTTTTTTTCAATCAAATGGTCGAAGCTGTATGAAGGAGGCAACAACGCTGATTTGATTCAAATGATAATGCTGCTGGTTCAAAGCAATGAAATCATATCAAGAAGGCAACCACGTTCAAACAAAGACAAACACATCGAAGCTAGGCTCTGATATGATACCAAATGATGTAGAACAACTATTAGGAAATACACAGGGTTTCCAATTGATTCAAAACCAGAAAATATAAAGAATGGTTCAGAAATAAAAGAACCAAGATTCAAGAAAAAAAGAATTTTCAAGAGAAGAAGAACACGGGCCACAACCCTACACACAAAAACCACAACTTTTCTCAACTAAAATTCATTAATCAACTCCTCCCAGTTCCAATGTCAAAACCTTTATTTATAGGTTAAAAGAAACTCTAAAAATAATAAGGAAACTAAAATTCTTGATGACTAAGAAACATACTAAAAGGAAACAAATCTTGATGACTAAGAAACATACTAAAAGGAAACAAATCTTGAGAATCCGAATTAAAGATTCTTGATCAGTAAAAAATGTACTAAAAGGAAACAAATCGTGAGAATATTAACTATAATTGAAAAGAGAATAAATAAATAAATATTGATGACATAAGATTAGAAGATAAGAAAGAAAATCTCATGCGCATGTTCCGCATAACCAATTTGGCATTAATTATGCAGCATGCCCTGTTCCCCAACAGGTTTAATCATACAGAAACAGTCATATCTCTACACTATGAAATGAAATTCATATCCAACTACCATCATAGATATTTTGAGCAAACCAAGAAAATTTTGCACAAAAGCATAGGTTTGAGACCAGTGTGGCATGGGATGCATACCTGAGTACATCCAAACAATTTGAGCACTTTCAGTGACAAACAACTATCCACAATCAAACCTACAGCCTCATTGGTCAGATTGCGACACCACGACAAATCCAAAGTAAACAGCTTTCTCGAACGTCGGGCAAGTGATATAGCTGTGTTGTTACTAACCTGCTCGAAATCACATAACCCCCAATAAGCAATAAGGAAATCATCACTTTAGAGACAAATGAAGTGTTCGTACATTCATACACCCACACACACATGAACTGCTATGCAATAATCTAATCCATGGTAGTCGGTACCTTGTTAACATTGTTGAGAGACAATTCTTTCAAAGACTCCCCAGATGCTTCAAGGTATGCAGCAACAGCTTCATCACTGTCATGTGTAAAACAAAGAAGCTTCTACAGTTAGCTTTTGAGATGTGAACACTCAACACTTTGCATGTAAGACTAATGTGAATACTTTGGGAAGACCATTGCAAGCTACATAAAAAACAAGCATAGGTAAGGGACTGTTGCAACAGAGTCAAAGCCAGTACTTGCTTTGCAGCTAAGAAGCATAGACACATACACATGACAACACGGACACGCCGACCCGTTAATTTTTAAAAAATGCAGGACACGACACGTGGGGGATACGCATGAAATACATAATTTTATATATTTATTAAATGTTATATATATCATTCAAAGATAATAAAAAATGCTATATGACACTAATTTTTATAAATTTATATGGATTTTTTTTTATATCTTAAGTTGTTTTGTTCAAACTTATAATTAGTTGCACGTGTGTCTAATCGATAGATACGTTTGTTTAACCGATTGACACGTGTGTCTTCCAAGTGTTCAAAGAGTGTCCGAGTCTTTAAAAAAATTTAAAAAACAGGACACGCTTTGAAGAGTGTTGGACATGTGTCCTAAGAGTGTCCAAAGAGTGTCGGGTATCCAACACGGACATGACAAGGATACATCACCTTAGAAATGTCGGTGTTTCCAGTATGAGAATCTTTGGCTCAGCCTAACACCACACTTGGAGAACAGATGTTTCACCAAATAAAGTTCCTACCAGAGTTAGTTTCCAGTGGCTCTAAGAACCCAAGGAACACCCTTCAAACGGAAATAAACAAGGGTCCAACTTGTCAGTATAATTTGCAAAATTTTCTTCAAGCAATATTGCAGTTTAGCCTTCCCAGGCCAAGAAAAGGACATTAAGTAATCCTGGTCGCAATTATTCCCTAGATGGGAAAGAGGTAATAACCTTGACCACACTTTTGAAACTCAGGTTTTTTTACTCTGGTTTGTTATATGTTAACACTTTTGTCTATCTTAATAAAATTTCAAGCTTCTATTAAAAAATATTATGATTGTCTAATTGTGAATTAAGCAAACCAAAATGCATTTACTGCAATAATAGGCCTGTGTAAATGATATTTAAATGGGCAAGCAGAAACACTCATGGACGCAACTCAGACCCCAAAAAAAGGGAAGAACAGAAAAAGACAAACTACCGTAACAGTAACAAAATATTACAGTAACGAAATAAAAAAATATTTACAATTAAATATTAAATAAAATGATTATAAAAATAAATACAAGTAATGTTTATATCTTTTTTATTTTACATGCTAGTGTAATGAAATAAAAATTAAAAAATATTTTATAAAGAAAACAAATTCATATAAAAAAATTTCTTTGCGTTTGGATCACTTGAATATTTGTACTTTTTTTGTAAGCTCTTTTTTTTTTTACAGTAAAAAAAAAATACTCAAGTGATCTAAGTGATCTAAGCCCAAAGAAAACTTACAAAAAATAACAAATACTCAAGTCATCTAAGCCCAAAGAAAAAATCTTATATGATTTTTTTTTTTTTGTAAATTTTTTTTAATTTTTATTTCATTACATTAGCATATAAAAAATAAAATATATATATACAGCAGCTGTATTTATTTTTATAATCATTTTATTTAATATTTAATTGCGAATATTTTTTATTTTGTTCCTGTAATATGTTGTCTAAAAAATGTCCTTAGAAAAATAAATAAAATCAATAGGTCAAAAATAATTTTTATTTATGGCACTTTTTATTTTTACAATCATTTCATTTAATATTTAATTGTAAATAATTTTATTTATAGCACAATTTTTATTTTTATAATCATTTCATTGAATAATTGTGAATATTTTTTATTCAGTTAGTTCAGATATTAGTCAAAAATAACTTGTAGACATTCAAAATTAATTATTCTTAAAAGTCATTAACTGTTAAAATAAAATGTAAAAAACTCCTTTTATAATTATTTAAAAATATGAAATATATTAAATCATATTTAAAAACTAACAAAAATTGATCAAAATCAATTTTAAACTCTAATAAATATGATTCTAAAGAAGAAAAAAAAGTATGCGTATCGGTAAATTTTTTTCAAATTGTACGAAACATAAAAAAAAATCACGGTTCCAATTACCGCAACGTCACATTACGGACTTTACACCCCACAACCGTAACCACGCCACCGCAACCGCTTTTCAAAACCTTGAGCTAGCAATAATATTGTATTAAATTCTCCCATGAATGGACAAAAAATTATTGATCTTTTTTTCTCACAAGTAAAAGTAGTTCAAAATATTAAGGCAGAACCTGAATGAATTCCGGCAGAGTTTTAAGGTTTGAATTGCTCGACAACCATTTGCAAGATATCCCATTGCGGAATCTGTCAATCTGCACAAGTTACCAAGGTCAAGAACACATAATCCAGTACAAGTGTCTGCGATGACTTTCATGGAAGAATCAGTCAATTTCCTGCAACAAATTCAAAACACGCAAATAATGGAATGACTAGACATTTCACCAAAGCTTGATAACAATCTGATCCCCTGTATAGGAATGATACGGGGTAATCAGGATAGTTTAGATTTAAATTAAGACCTCATTTGGACACATGCTATTTTAATAATTTTATGACATTTTATGAAAAGATGTGCAAAAAAGTAGAGAGAGTGATGTGACAACTTATAATGACCTTTTGGCTTTTTGGCTAAAATGTATAGTTGAAAACAAAGCCTAAATTTCCATTCAGAAATTTGTGTACGGATACATACCTACAATCTGTCAAAACAAGCTCCTTGATATTGTGACCATGCACTTCTATGAATTTGATGACAAAATCATCACAAACAGTTTGAATCGCAGCTAGTGACAACACTTCCAAATGCTCTAACTTTGACAACGCAGGCAGAATAAGCATTGTATCTATGTTTTGGCAATCATCTATATACAATTCTCTCAGAACATATCCCAATGAATCAGCTAAAGTATTGATTCCATCAGAGGTGAGCAGAGAGCACTGGCTGAGATTTATAGATCTTAAAGCAGGCGCAGAACCGACTAGTGCACTTAACCCAACATCTGAAAGACGGCATGCACCCTTCAAGGATATAGTAGTTAATGCAGGAAGGATGTTTGACATGCGAGCTAAGATAGCAACTAGAACATAATCTGGCATACAGCGTCCACATTGATCAAGCTGCAGCACCTACTTCCATAAAACCAAAATATTCAGCTTAAATTAATTATCAAAATTACCAACAAATAAGAAGCTATTACTCCCATGCAAATAAAAGAAATTCACAATTAGTTCAAGAACAGTGATCTTCGCCTTGAGCAAGAGAATAATGCTTCAAACTAATGAAGGGCTTGCATAGACCGGCAAGATATTCTGACAGTCTTTCAATACATTTTTTTTTTTTTGGGGTGGGGAGGGAGGAGCAACAAAACAAATTTTATTGTAAAACAAATACATTACAAACGAGGTTAAGGAGTCCTCAAAAGAAAACAAAAAACTATACATCATATGCTGACCCCCACTACCTAGAAATCAAAAAAAGCGGAACACCTTTAAAGGGCCAAGCAACTGAAACCCAAAAAGATGTCAAGAGACAGACTTTATCCCACAAGTGATCCAAATACCCAAATTTATCTTCAAAGATCCTTGCATTTCTTTCCAATCAAATCACCCCAAAAAATTGCAAAAATCATGCAAAGCCATACCACCATTATAGTTTCCAAGCTCCATAAATCATTTAGCATTTCCATTAAGATGCCAAAACACCAGCATGACACTACAAGCACCAATCAAGCAAAATATTTCCAAATACATGCTAATAATCGGTTAGTTGTATGCTTTATTGCACCTTCAAGTCAAGCAGGAGACAATTATTACAATATTACAGCAAATTGTTAAAGATTTAGTGAGACCAATTTCTATTGTAATGATCAGAAAGGTCATCACAGCAGATGATTCACAAAGGTCAAAATATAACAAATATTTATTATTTAAAAAGGGTCCAAGCATCATATTTAAAGCCGCGACAATTGGTTCGATAAGAAATTATACCGTCAAGTTATTGATTTCACACCCTTCGAAAGCACTCAATAATTGTTCCTCAGTTAACCATGAACAATCACGTATGCGTATTTCTGTAGGAGATCCACGTACAAGGAGATCAAGGAAATGACTGTTCATTCGCCGAGAATCGCAAAGCAACTGACTGAGCTTGTGCTTCAGTACATCAGGCACACTTTCAAGTGAAGTGATTGCATCTGCATTTTTGGCAAGAATTGCTATACATAAGTCTTGAAGTGGGGGGATCAACAGCTTTGAGCGGTCACTGTGCTGATCCTTTTTGGGAGCCCACATTATTGGTGCAGGTTTACTTTTATCCAAACAGGAATTCTGTTGCGACACATTCGCATTCATTTCTCGGTCCTTAATAATCTTCATAGCGGTCGAAAAAGGACCAGGCCAGTCTTCAATTTCCCCGTCCCCCTCCCTTCCTGGCATTTCCCCTTCAGCCTCATTAGTGACACCGTTTTCCTCTACCTCTTCGGAAGAGAAATGAGCAAATCGTGATGCATTTTGCCTGGCTATATCTCGGAACCGTTCCTTGTAATCCCTAGCTCTTGGAAAATTAACCATATTAGTCTCCACAACCGGACTTCCATCTTGACCATCAGCCAAAGAGCGCGTACCAGAAACTGCATTTTTTTCTGAATCTCCCGGTTGAGTTTCCAGGTTCAATTCCAAAGCCTGAATACCATTTGACAACAAACCCTCCTCAACCACTTTCCTCTTCCCCTTTTCTTCCCTAGTAAGCCTCTTTCTAGGCTTACCATTACAATTTCCATCAGCAATTGGGTCTTTCTCCAATTCTTTCAGACCTACATTTTCGGGCAAATGAGCAGCAGTATCTAAAACAGTGTTATCATTTGATAACAAATCATCATTAACAGCTTTGCCCTTCCCTTTCTCTACCCTGCTGAGTCGCCTTGTAGCCTTAATACCAGCAGTACAAGCTTCATCACTGGTTGGGTCTTTGTCCAATTCATTCAACCCCACTACATGTTCCAGCAAATTGACAGTATTCGAAACAACCGACATTTCTACTCCCCTTTGGTTGTTCACATGATGAACCGACTTATCATCATCATCACAAGTGCTTCCTTCAATCGAAGATGTCCTCTTACAAATTTTCTTTCCAGATCGCAAACTGAGCGATCCTTCGGAAGCCAATTTGCGCTTCCCTGTCCCCTTCTCTGCATCCTGATTGATAATACTAGTAACAGTAACAGCAGGGGTTGGGGTGGTGATTTCATGAACGCCGCTTTGAATAGAAGCGAGACGGAGGCTACGTCTACGAACATTCCCAGAAAGAGAGACCGGCGAATCGGAACAAAACCCTAGCGCCTTAGGGGTAGAAGCGGCCAGGTTTGAGGGCTCTAGGGTTTTCGACGATTCAATCGTTCCTCCTCTTTTTAGGGTTTTCAGTGGACTTTGAGATTTGACCATCGGGACTATCTCTCGAGACCTCAACACCGTCATTGCTCCACGCTCTGATTGTTATACACAACCGGCTGTCTCAGTCTGTCGGCGATGTATATATCTATACTACTATATATATATATATATGCGGGGAGAGAGAGAGAGAGAGAGAGAAGTTCACTGCAATGGGCGGCGAATGGGTTGGGCTGGGTTTGGGGCTGTGTGTTTTGGGAAATGGGAGAGAAGCTTCCTTCATACGCCTCTCCTTTCCCGCCAAAAGGTGGCAGGGCGAGGTTGCAACTTGCAACCGCTGATGGTTCTCTGCGGGCAATTTGGGATTTTTAGCTTTTTAAGGCACCGTTTGGGAAGAAGTTGGTTGGGCTTTTTTGGTTATTTTAGTCACAAAAAACAAAATAGATTATTTTAGCCATAACAAACAAAACATCACATTCAACCCATAATCATTACACTCTTCTCTCACAAAAAAGTCAAAAAACCAAAAAGCCCTTCCCAAATCAAGTTTTTTAGCCCAAGCTAAAATAGCCAAAAAAACTAAAAAGTCAAAAAGTTAATCCACTTCCCAAACGGAGGCTAAGTGGGGACTTGAAAAGGAGATTTTTTTAAAAAAAATTTGGTTGTAAAATATTATTGGAGAAATTTTTTTTTGTGTTTTAAAAGATAGTTAGATTTTTTTGTGATTGAATATGACGTTTGTGAGAGAAAAAAGTGAAATGATTATGAGGTTTGATGTGATATTTTGTTTAGATTTATTATTTTTAGCTTTGTAACTAATTTGTCTTTTAGTGAAAAAAATCAAAAAAAAATCTTTCACAAACACCGCCTAGGTTTTGTTTGGCAAGTTGGTTTGTGGCTAAAATAGTCATAAAAGACAAAATAGACTGTTTTACCCACAACAAACAAAATATCACATCTAACCCATAATCATTACACTCTTCTCTCACAAAAAAGTCAAAAAAACCAAAAAGTCCAAAAGCCCTTCACAAAACAAACTTTTTAACCTAGGTTAAAATAGTCAAAAAAAATCAAAAAGCCAACCCACTTCCCAAACGGAGGCTAAGTTTTGTTTGGCATTGATTAATATAGTTATTTCTTTTGTATTAAAATTCTTTTAGCCTGACTTTTTTAGTTTCATTTGGTTTGGATTTTTTTATTTTTTTATTTTTGTAAGAGAAAATGTATAATGATCATAGATTAGATGTGATATTTTGTCTTATTAGTTTATTTAAGTCTCGTTTGGCAAGTGGTAATTTTAACTAAAAAGTCAATAAAAAACCAAAAAATAACAATCTATACTAAAAAGTCAAAGATTTCATTTTCTCTCTACTTTTTGCACATATTTTTGTAAAAAATAAAAAAGTCATTCCAAACATACTAGTTTTTTTACATCATATTTTAGTCAAAAAATCAAAAATAATTTAAAAAGTCTGTTCTCAAACGAGGTCTTAGTTTATTTTGTTATTTTTTGCTTTTTTAATTCCAAAATGATAGTCAAATCCGGACTTAGCTTTTTTTTTTTTTTTTACATAAAAAGGTCACAAAAAAAAGTCAATATTTTTAATATAAAAAAGTCAAAATTAATTTGTTACTAATTTCTCAAAACACCTATATTTTCTTTCTTTTTTTTTCTTGTGTTTTTTTTCATTTTTCATAAAATAATGTGCAAAAAATATTTTACAAAACTTCTTTTGAAAAAATTATGTGAAAGTTCAGGCTTATGATTTTTTATTATGTGAAAGTTCTAATCAGGCTTATGATTTTTCATAAAATAATGTGCAAAAAATATTTTAAAAAACTTCCTTTGAAAAAATTATGTGAAAGTTCTAATCAGGCTTATGAATTTGCGAATACACTCATAGTTTATATTTGTTTTGATAATTTTATTGTGATATTTTATTTTAAATTTCAGTATAAGAGCATTAATAGAGACCCCCTCTAATCACCACCCCCACAACCCCACACACACGTGGCGGGTGGTGATTGGAGGAGAAGGAAAAAAAAAAGAGCAAAAGAAAAAGTAGCCAATTAAAAAAGAGAGGGGGTCAAAGGAGGAGAGGGGAAAGGGGGTTTTAAACATTTTTGTTCAGTATAATTTGGTAGATATTTTTATCCTTTTTCATAGGGAGACGCCATATTAGAAAAGTTTGATCTAATTTTTTAATCTCGTTTCTGTCAATCTAATATAATATTTAAATGTAACATTCTAATATAATACTCAAATATAACACAATCTTATTTAACAGTCAAACATAAAATTTGAAAAAAACTTGTTAATGTATTTTTTCTAAATATTATGTAACACTTCAATATAACATAAAAAAGTTATTTTGTGTACTTTTTCCAAATATCTCTAACAAATAGCAACAATTAAAGATATTATAATGGCAAATAAGTTATTACATATTCAAAAGAACTAAATGAATCACAAAAAAAAAATTATGGAACTAACTGAAATATAATTCTAATATATAAGATTTATTGATAACTCTCCCTTTTTTTTAGGAAAACTTACGCAAATTTATCTCCTTACACCTATTTTCTCATTTTACCATTAAGAAATGGGAGATTCTATTTACACTCTGAATACTCATAGTACACACCATTTAACTATTAAATGGAAAATTCTACTTACACAACAATCTTACGTCTTTATACCTATTTTCTCATTACATTTTTAAAAAATAATTGAAATTCTCATTACGCCCTTTATAATGCCAAAATTAATCCTAAATTAAACGTTTTTCAAACTTTTATAAATTTTCTCATTACACCTATTTCTTTTAAATTACTCCGGTAATATGTTACTGAATACATTATATATATCCAACTATCTTTTGCCATATGTTTACACATTCACTTTCCTCTCCTTATTTTTTTTTTCAAAATTTATGATGGACCGTTAAGTTTATACATTATTCAATAATTTGAATTATGCTAGTATCATGTTATCGAATAAATTAAATTTGTCCAGCCATCTATTGTCGTACGTTGATAGATTCACTTTCCTTAAAATATCAACCATCCATAAAAAATGAAGTGTACAAACATCCATAAAACATTCATAAAATTTATCAATCCAAATATCTTTAAATTTATCAATACAAATATCTATAAAAACACACTAATTATCGCAATCCATCTATGTCGATAGTTTTAGTAATTACTATATCAAGGCTGACAAGCGTACAAAATTGATCAATATGAGTAATATATGCTTTCTCCCATCCATTAACACACAGGTGATGGAAACAAATCCAATTACTTGCTTTTGGAGGTACTGGATGACCAAGAAGCAAATAAATCTAACAAACCTTGTCTGTAATGAATTCATGATTGTACTTTATTAACAATACACTACTAGCCTTCTTATAATGAATAGAAGCATAATCATTCAAAGCAAAAAATAAAAATAAAAATTAAAAACAAAAATGTTAGAAAAATGAAACTAAAAATGTTTAGCAGTGAGTTACCGGACATATACTTTTTGTTCGGCAGTAGGTTACTGAACAAGTGTTTTTTGTTCAGTTGTAGGTTATTGGATACGTATTTTTTGTTCAACAGTGTGATCTTTGTTGTACAAAATGTATATTTAAATAAAAATAGACAGATTCATATTTAAACAAATTCAAATAAGAAATGATAGAACTAATTTAAACAGGAGATTACAACTTGACATACAGAAAAATAAAACAAATATATTCTAAACACATCAAACAAAAATAAGAAATAGGAAACAAACCAAAGCCTGTGAAACTACAGTTTTCTTAAAACCAATTTGTCACTTCACCATAGGTGCTAGAGATATGTTGGCATCTTTCTGCCAAAATACGACGATCGGAACCAGCTAAGTCAAAAGCACGTTCTGTATAGTTTCAACGAACTGACAATGACAGCATTCTCTCACACAGGAAGAATACATTATATGCAAACCATTTGAGTGTCACGCCCCCAAACCGCCCCTAGTAGTTTGGTGCCGTGATGGCCAGTAATCCGAGATTACAGAAGGCCGACTTACAAGAATCACACACAATCAGAGTATAAATTATGGGGCTTACAAGTGCGGAAGCAATATATAAGCATTTACGGAATCTAAATAGTCCATGAGAGCCGTGCATAAGTCCAATGAAATGACATACATCTTTATAAAGTCTTACAACTCAAATACAATAAGGAAATGAGATACAAAACACATCTTGACCAAAAGGCTTCTCAAGCCGACGTATACAAGTACAAATGAAAAACAAGCCGAGAAGCATGATCTTCAAGACGGTACAAAATGATAATCCAAAACATGTCGGCAATGCACCCAAAAATACATCGGCATTTAAGATGACCTCCAATGCCTTCTTGTTCGTCACCTACATATATATAGAGAGGGTGAGCTTGGATACTCAGTGAATGATATCAGAAATAAATTTTGTTTGTTCATTGGGCATATTGCCAAAATTAATTATTTATTTTCTTAGGAAAAAAAAGAAAGAGTTTTTAGTGCTGGTTTTCCATTGTTTAGTACTAGGAGGGTATTGCCTAAAAATAGAATTTCCTTTTATTTTAATATCCATCTTTGTTCCTTTTTTCTTTTTTTCATGGGTTAATATCAGATTTGGTTGGTTGCAGTTGGTATCTATGGATATTTGTGGTCATCTTCTTGTTGCTGAATGTCAGTGGTATGTTACTTTCACTTTAAATCCTAATGCCAAATGTCGTCAAGCGAATTGATTATTTTCTTGTGCTTTAATTTTAGTTTCATGTTGTTGCTCAATGTTATTGGGGTTCAGTCAAATGTTTAGGTTTGTTACTCAAAAAGTGTTTGGAGTTTTCTATTTTGTTTTATTTATTTTTAATTTTTGTGTGCGGGTGCTCAAATTAGATGGGAAGAGGTTTAGACTCTTCCAAGTTACAGTGACAAGTTCCTGAACACAAAAGTTGGTCTCCTCCCAAATTTCTGGATTCACCTGCACAAATCTCTGTGATATTCATTATCCTTTTTTTTTTTTAATTTGTGTCATTATATTATTGTTTCTGGTTTTGGCACATGTTAAGATATTTAGATGAAAAGTGATTTATTATTTTGTTTTGCAGGGTGGCATACCTATTTTTGGATAGCTTTCATTCCTTTCATCGTGAGTTGTTCTAATATAATCTGTGTACTTGGTCATGCATTTTTTTCCTATCATAATTGTCTTCTCAATGTTTTATTTTACTCCTCAA